TATCGTACGGCCAGTGGTGAGCTCGTCCCGGACGAGGGCAGCTTGCAGCTCAAGGCGGAGGACGAGTACGGAGTGCTACGAGCGCTCAAGGGACGCGTGACGAACGTGCACAAGCCGTTGATCTCGGTGGGGCAGGCAGCAGGAGCTGGACAGTGTTCATTCCTGGGCCGCAATGGCGGCTGGATATTCCACGAGAAGAGCCCAATCGGCAAGCGCGTGGTAGGCATGCTCGAGAAGGAGGCGAAGGCGGCGAAGCACCAGATGCTGCCGGTCTATCGCGAGCAGGGCGTCTACAACTTCTACCTCAAGAAGGGCCAACATGGCTCGGTTGCTCCTCTCGAGGAGGGACTTTCGGCAAAGTCGAAGTCCGAGCTGGTGGAGCTCCTCAGCGGCAAGTCGAAGGAGGAGCTGCTGGAGATCCTCGAGAAGACAGTCCCCAGGAGGCAGCCCTCGGCGTAAGCCCACTGGAGGACTTAATACCACGGCCCCCGGCGGCATCGGCTGCGGGGGCGGCAGCGGCGGGGTCGGGGCCTTCCGACGTGAGACCGCCGGGTTTTCAGCCAGCGGCAGCTGCTGCGGCCGACGCTTTGCCAGCTGCTCCTGATGGACAGCAGGCCGACGAGGGCGAGGAGGAGGCTCGCCCGAGAGTGCTGAAGGCACCTCATGAGCCCTCTCAGAGGGAGATCGCCGAACACGAGGCGATGGGACACGCGACTTATCGCAGCTGGTGTCGCGTGTGTATTGCGGCAAAGGGCCAAGGCCAGCCGCATCTCCGCGCACCGGAGGACGACGAGACAGCGGTGCCGGTGGTCTCGTCCGACTACGCCTTCATGGGCCAGGACGACGCGGACACCATGCCGATGCTGGTCCTTAGGGATCGGCGCTCGAAGATGATGGCGGCGACATTCGTGGAGAAGAAGGGCGACGACGCCTACGCCATCAAGTTCTTCGCACGCTTCTTGCGGATCCTGGGCTACAGGAAGATCGTCAACAAGTCCGACGGCGAGCCAGCGATCCTGCTGGTCAAGAGGCGTGCGGTGGAGGAGGTTCCTGGCCTCGAGGCCATTCCCCAGGAGTCGGCACCGGCCGATCATCAGGCCAATGGGGAGATTGAGGTCACGGTGCGCGAGATCAAGAAGCAGGTGCGGGCGCTCAAGATGGACCTGGAGTCCAAGCTGGGCGTCAAGGTGGAGGACAAGCACCCGGTGCTAGCGCACCTGCCGGAGCACGCCGCATCGGTAATCAACCGATACCGGCGCGGCCAGGACGGCAAGACCGCTCTTCAGCGGCTCACGGGACGGCAGTGGAGGAAGCCGGTCCCGCTCTTCGGCGAACGCTTGATGGCGCGGTTCGCCGGGGAGCGCGCGAGGAAGAACGCGCTGGAGGAGCAGATGGTGGAGGCTCGCTACATCGGCCACCACCCGCGCGACGGCTCGATGATGGTCATCACGAGCGACGGCGTGAAGAAGGCGGTCGGCTTTCGCAGCCTGCCGCAGAGCGAGAAGTGGATCACGGCGGGCTGGGATGGCCTGAAGGGCCTGCCGTGGGACGTGGCTCCGCGTGCGGCAAGCGCGCCGCGGGCCATCGTCGGACCTGGAGAGGTCGGTCCGCCACCAATTGTGGTGGTGTCGCCGCAGCCGCAGGCGCCGAGGAGGATGTACGTCCTCAAGGCGGACATCGAGCGGCTGGGCGCAACGCCGGGATGCCCAGGGTGCATCTCGATCGCTCGGCACGGCCGGGTGCTGGCTGGCCACGCGCACAACGCGGTGTGCAGCAAGAGGATCTTCGAAGCGCTGGACGCGGAGGAGGCAGGCCGGGAGAGGACCGGCCAGTATCGAGAGCGGAGGCAGGGCCAAGAGGCCAGAGTCCGACCAGCGGCATCGGCCGCGGCAGGGACCCCTCCGCCGAAGACGGCTCGGAGGACCACCGAGTCGGCGGCAGCGGCGGCAGCGGCATCGGCCGCGTCGGCCGCGACCCGCTCGGCAGCAGCGCCAGCCGTGGTATCCACGGCGGCGCGCTTGCGCGAGAGCCAGCCGGTAGCACCGGGCTTCGGCGTGGCGGCTCCTTCAGGAGGAGCGAGCTCCAGTTCGGGAGCGGCGCGAGCGGCAGAGGCCGCCGCGGATGTCGACATGACCGCGGCCAGGTCGCGGCTGAAGCGCTTGGCAGAGGTGGCCCCGGATGACGTGCCGGAGGCCCTCGAGCGCGGTGATCCACAGCCGGCAGACGTGCCGGTACCGGTGGACATGGAGGATCTCGCGGCGCAGCCGGCGCCAGCGGAAGGACCTCAGCTGCCAGATGGAGTGGCAGTCGTGTGGAACGCCAGTGAGGGGAGGCACATGCGGGTGTTCAACCTCGATGTGGCGTCGATCGAGCTGGTTGAGCTCGGAGTGCTGACGAGAGCGAAAGCGGAATTACTCCCGCTCGTTCGTGAACAGGTCAGTGGCCATTGGGCCAGCGCCGGCGTGGACATCGCCGACGAGGAGGTGGACAGCATCGCCCTATCGGCGTTGCAGCTGGGCGCCGTGGACGTGGCCGAGGTGCATTCGCCGCATCGGTTCTCGGCTCGGGCAGCGGAATTTCAGCTGCGCCCGGGTTTCGCGGCGGACCTGGAGGAACTCAAGGAGGACGGGACGCCGTGGGACTTGCGGCGCCCCGAAGATGTCAAGGAGCTCGAGAAGCAGCAGGAGCGGATGGATCCCATCCTGCTCACGGGGTCCCCTCCATGCGAGAAGTTCAGCTCGCTGAGGGTCCTGAGCGCCAAGTTCAGGACCGAGGAGCAGGAGGCGGCTGAGATGGAGGAGGCCAGACACCACCTGAAGGTGGCAGTCGACGCCTACTGGCGTCAGCTCAGGAAGCCAGGTAGGTACTTCCTGCATGAGCATCCCTGGAGCGCGCGATCGTGGAATGAGGACATCGTCAAGGAGCTGGTCGCGCATCCAGGAGTCTTCACGGTCAAAGGCCCCATGTGTCGGCGGGGCATGAAGCTCACGAACCCCCGCAATGGCCAGGAGGAGTTCGTGCGCAAGGAGACCGGATGGGTCACCAACCATCCAGGCCTAGCCCGGAGGCTGCAGGGCACTTGCAGCAATGTGGACGGCCGCACGGAATGGCACCGCCACGTCACGCTCGTGGGCGGCATCGCGCGGTTCGCGAAGGTCTATCCACCGAAGTTGGTGGAGGCGGTGCTGGAGGAGCTCAAGGACACGCTGAAGGACGTGGGAGAGCTCAGCACCGCCCAGGTGCAGCAGTCGGGCCCAGTCCCTGTGGATGCGGCAGTGCCGCCCGGGGACTGGACGAGCTACTGGGACGACGTCAACGGCGGCTACCTGGAGGCGGGCCTTGTGGCCCAGGCTCGCGCGGTCGAGCGCGAGTGGGTCAAGAAGCAGGAGCTGATCGAGATCGTCCCGAGGTCTCAGGCTTTCGCCGAGACTGGGCGTCCGCCCATCCCACTCAAGTGGGTCGACACGAACAAGGGCGACGCGGAGAGGCCCAACTACAGGAGCAGGCTCGTCGTGAAGGAGATCAAGGCGAAGAAGCGCCCTGACGAGCAGCTGGAGGCGTCCGAGGTCTTCTCGGCCATGCCTCCTCTGGAGGCCATGCGGTCGCTGGTCTCGCTGATGGTCACGTGGACGCGGGAACCACCGCTCCACATTCAGGAGTCGCTTCGCAAGAAGGGCAGGAAGCCGGGCAACTTCAAGATCGGCTTCTTCGACATCAGCAGGGCGCACTTCTACGGGAAGGCGCAGCGGAGGATCTTCGTGGAGCTGGAGGAGGAGAGTCGCAAGGAGTACGGCGAGGACAAGTGCGGCCTACTCCTCAAGTCCTGGTACGGCACGCAGGACGCCAGCAAGATCTGGCAGGGCGACTACACGGAGCTGCTGGAGGAAAACGGCTACAAGGCGGGCGTGTCGTGCCCAGCGGTCTTCTACAAGGAGGTGGACGAGACGAGGCTGCTGGGGCACGGCGACGACTTCGCGGTGCTGGCTCAGCAGCAGGACATCGACAGCTTCGAGGCCACGCTGGGCAAGAAGTACGAGTTCAAGAAGACTGCGAACCTAGGCTTCGACGAGGGCGATGACAAGCAGGCGGTCTTCCTGAACCGGGTCATCGAGGTCAGTGCGGGAGTTCCGCCCGGCGGTGGCCGGCCCTGCCGGCATGCGATGATCGAGCCGGATAAGCGGCACGCGGAGATCGTGATCGACGAGTTGGGTCTCAGCAAGGCCAATGGCGTGGATACGCCGATGGAGAAGCGCAGCGCTGACAAGCAGATGATGGATGCGAAGTCGGCGGCGTTGGGAGCAGCGGAGGCTTCGCGCTTCCGATCCCTCACCATGAGGGTGGCCTACCTGTCTCAGGACAGGCTGGACTTGGCTGAGGCATCGAAGACACTCGCCAGGTCCATGCAGACGCCAACGGAGGCGAGTTGGCTCATGCTCAAGAGGGTTGGCCGCTACCTCAAGCGGCATCCTAGCACGGTGACGGTTTTCACGGAGCAGAAGATGTTCGACAAGATCCGGGTGCACGTGGACTCCGATCATGCGGGCTGCGCAGTCACACGGAAGAGCACCGGAGGCTTCGTGGCGATGCTGGGGCATCATGTCGTCAAGCACGGCAGTAATCTGCAGTCGACGGTTTCTTTGAGCAGCGGGGAGAGCGAGTACTACGCCCTTGTGAAGGGCGGGAGCGTGGGCTTAGGCCTTCATAGCCTCTTCGCGGACTGGGGGCTGGACCTGAAGGTGGAGCTCGCCTCGGATTCATCGGCGGCCCGGGGCCACGTCCAACGGCGAGGTCTCGGGAAGATGCGGCATGTTCAATCACGATACTTGTGGATCCAGGAGCGTGTTGGCAAGGGCGACCTCTCGATCGCTGCAGTTCCTGGCAAGAACAATGTCGCGGACGTGCTGACCAAGAGCGTGGGTGGCTCCCTTTTGAGGAGACACATGGCTACGCTGAACATCTGGGATCGGGCACCGAGTTCGACTCAGAAGGACATCAAGTGATGGAGTGGATCGAATCCATGCTCCGCTACCTGTGGGGCTGGATGATGTTCCGCCGGCAGCGGTATGATCGCGCCGGGCGGAGTGAGGGGCTCGCGGCATGGCCGCAGCCTAGCGGATGAGCCGGGCGCGTCGGCTCGGGCGCGCGCGTACGACTTAGGTCGTGCCTGGCCGGTTTGCGGCCAGGCCCGAGGAGGAGTGATTCTGACTCACTCCCCTGTGCGCCCATTTTGGCTCAAGATGAAAGAGGGATATTGTTGTCCATCGACATATTATCTCATCAGTCCGGGCCAAGAGGCGGCCAAGACGTACCCAGGGAGGCGCAAGTGGCCCCCAAACTGGTCCTAGACGGCCCCGGGGCGCTCAAATATCGTCGTCCCTGGACGCTCAAGATGGCTCCCATTGAGCCTAAGGAGCCGGTACAACGCCCCAAGTTGCTTCCCAAGAGAGCCCCAAGCGGCCAAAATCATTGATTTTGCATAAGAAAACGTGCATTTTCAGCGTCTACGTCTTTTCGGTCTTCACGGCGTGCACGAGGGTACAAGAGGCCCCCACGACGGCCCGAAGACGGCCCAAGAGGCTCCCAACACGGCCCAAAAGGAGCCCAAGACAGTCCCAGAGGCGGCCAAGGCGTGCTCAAGAGGCGGCCAAGGCGTGTCCACGGAGCCCCAAGAGGCTCCCAAATCGGTCCAAGACGGCTCCAGGGCTCTCAAAGATCGCCCCTGGACGCCCAAGATGGCTCCCATAGAGCCCAAGAGGCCGTTACGACGCCCCAAGAAGCTTTCCAAGGGAGCCCCAAGCGCCCCAAATCATTGATTTTGCGTAAGAAAGCGTGCATTTGTAGCATATACGTCTTTTCGGTCTACACGGCGTGCACGACGGCACAAGAGGCCCCAAAAACGGCCCCAAAAGGTTGCCAACACGGCCCAAGACAGCCCGAGGGGCGGCCAAGGCGTGGCCAGAGGGCCCCATGAGGCTCCCAAAACGTTCCATGGCGGCCCCGGAGCGCTCAAAGCTAGCCCTTGGATGCTCAAGACGGTTCTCACAGTGCCCAAGAGACCGCGAAGACGCCCCAAGAGGCCCCCAAGAGGTTTTCCAAGAGGGTCCCAATAAACCAACATCATTGATTTTTGCAAAGGAAAACGTATATTCTTTGCATCTACGACTTGTCGGTCTTCACAGCGGTGACGACGGTGCAAGAGGCCCCCAAGAGAGTCCCAAAACGGCCCGAGGGGCTCCAAAGACGTCCCGAGAGGGGGCCAAGACACCCCAAGAAGCCCCCAATACGACTTAGGAGAGCTCCGAGACGGCTCCAAGAGGAGCCCAAGAGGGGGAGCCCGAACCGAAAATCCGGCCCTTCCGCCCAAGGAGGTCCCAGGAGGCCCCCTGGAGCCCTGGAGGCTCCTAAGAGGCTCCAAGAGGCCCCCAAGAGATCCCCCTATAGGCCGACCCCAGCGGGGGCTTATGGAGGGGAAGATTCTGATACGCCAAAAGACCCACAAGGGGTCGGCGGGCTCAGGCCAGCTCGGTGCAAGTGTGAGCGGCATGAGTCGTTGCATCTCGCGGTGAACGTCGGCGCTGGAAGCACATCCAAAATCCGGGATCCTCCTCCTCCCCCCCTCCGCCCCTTCTCTCCTCTTCCTCCCCCGCTCCCCCTCCCTCCTTCTCCACTCCCCCTTTCTCTCTCCCCTTCCTCCCTTCCTCCCCTCCCGTTCCACCTCCCTCCCTCTTTCCCTCCCCTCCCTCCCCTCCCTCCCGCCCTTCCCCCCCTTCCCATTCCGCCCCCTTCCCCCCCCCCCTCTTCCGCGAGCCCCGCTGCCCTGCGCCGAAGTTGCACTGCATGGACTCCACCACGCGGACTGTCAACTAGATTGCACCACGGAGCTTGCACCGCGAAGCGTGCACTACATAGATCCATATATATATACTCGTATACGTACATACATACATACATACGTACATACGTACATGCATGCATACATACATACATACACACATACATATCAACATATGTAAGTTAACAGCGGTTGTTGCGCATGCATGCATATACGCATATATACACAGGGGCCTGGCCCGGGGGAATCCCAGTTCGAGCCGGCGGCGAAGGCGCTATTTGAAGACGCGGTTCCTCCAAGGAGTTGCGGTAGCGCTTCTCTTCCGCCGGCGCCTGGTGAAGCTCGTGAAGCCTCTATTCGGCCTGAAGCTTCTATTCCCCCGACGCCCGGTGAAGCTCGCGAAGCCTCTGAAACCTATTCTCCTGACGCCCGGTGAAGCTCGCGACGCTTCGCAGGGTTCGTGCCCCCAGGGGAGGGCAAATCTATAAAATGCAAATCGCGTAAAACCCCAAAAATTCGCGCCCCTAGAAGGGGGTCGTGCCCCAGGAGAGGGCCAATCACGCTAAGGATTCGTCCCCCATGATACGACCACTCGATCAGCACGCATGCGAAGCACGAGTGATTCGTGCCCTAGGAGAGGGTCAATCTATAGGCACAGATGTAAAACACTAAAAGGGCTTGCGTTCCAAGAGAAGGCCGATCTATCGGCGCATACGTTAAACATGAAAAAGGATTCGTGCCCCAGGGGAAGGGCAATCTATATGCACACGTAAGACACGAAGGATTCGTGCTCCAGGGGAGGGCGGATCTATATGCACATGCGTGAAGCAAGAAGGGCTCGTGCCCCAGAAGAAGCGCACACACACACACACACACACACACATATATATATATATATATATATATATATATATATATATATTATCATACGCACCTCTCCGAGGGAGTAGAGCTCAGAGGCGATTGATGCGCACGCGTCCGCGATTTTTCTGGGCGTTTCGCTCGGGACATCTTCGAAATTCTGAAAATCGGTGGCACCCCTCACGCAGATCGTGACGTCAGGGTCCAAAAGCACATGGGAATTTTAACTTTTTAACATAAAACCTTCAAACGCACATGGTAATTTCAATAATTGTGACCCCGATTCTCAGGGAATGGCGGTTTCGCTTGAAAAATCCTTCCAACATCGAGCCCCAGACCCCGCCTCGGAGCCTCCTGGGGGCCTCCTGGAACCTCCTGGGGCCTCCTGGGGCTTTCTGAACCTTCTGGCACCCCAGACCCCGCCTCGGAGCCTCCTGGGGGTCTCCTGAAACCTCCTGGGGCCTCCTGGGGCCTCCTGCGGCCTCCTGGAGCCTCTTGGGGCCTCCTGAAGCCTCCTGGGGTCTCCTGGGGCCTCCTGAGGCCGCCTGGGGCTTCCTGGGGCCTCCTGGGGCTTCAGAACTACATGCACACAGAGGCACAAATCACGCCCAACACATCACACGCTAGACAAACATAACACACACACACACACACACAACACCTACAACACACAAAAAGCACGCACCACACAAAGCATACATCACACACACACACACACACACACATACACACACACACACACACACACACACACACACACACACACACACACACACACACACACACACGCACAACACTCACAATCCTGGGGCCTCCTGGAGCCTCTTCTGGTATCCAAGTCGGGCCTCCTGAGGCTTCCTGGGGGGTCCTGGTACACACATCGCAAGGTGTGGCAACCCCACTTGCGCTCGAGTGCGACTTCGATGTTGCATTTCACTCCTGCTTCAAACGCCCCTTCAGTTTTTTGTATGAGCCTGGGCACACACGTGCCACTTGTATATAGCCCGGGGCCCACAAACAGCAGCCCCGACCCCCCATGGGAGGACGGGGCGGCCGGGGAGGTCCAAAATTGTCCAGGAGGGCCTCCAGAGGCTCCCCAGACGGCCCAAGCGGGCCCCCGAGTCGCCGAAAGACCGCTCCTGGACGCCCAAGATAGGCCCAAGACGGCCCGAGATGCCCCCCCAAGGCACTCCACGACGCTTCAAGACGCTTCTCCCGAGCGCTTCAAGAGATCAAAATCGTCAATTTTACTAAGGTTTTGGAGAAATTTTGGCCTTCCAGCCTTTTCGGCTGTCCGACGTTCCAGGCCGGCTCCATAGGCCCCCAAGAGCGCCCCAAGACGGCCCAAGAGGGCCCCCAGACGGCCTCAGAAGCGCCCAAGAGAGCCCCAAGACGGCCCCAAGATGCGCCCAAGAGGGGGACCACGACTCCAAAATTCGACCCTCCCGCTTGAAGAGTGCCCCAGGAGGCCCCAAGGAGACCCCCAGAGGCCCCAGGAGGCCCCCGAGAGGCACCCAGGAGACCCAAACAAGGCCTCAAGAGGCCACAAAACAGCCTCGAGGAGGTCCCACAACGGTTTCAAAATGGCTACCGAGAAGCTGCGAAACTGCATTCACGACGTCCCCGACAGGCCAACCACGAGATCCAAGCCAACACCCATGAGGCCTCTGACCCACCACCTAGGGCACTCGCCGCCGCCCGCCCGCCGTCCGCGTAGCACGCACCACTCTGTACACAGCTTCAGTCTCCAACATGCTCCCAGAGAGCACCCTTGAGGAATTCATTCAAATCCTGACCCGCCCGCCCGCCCGCCACCCGGCCGCCCGCCGCCCGCCCAGCCGCTCGCCCGCCTTCCGCGTAGCACGTGCCACCCTGCACTCAACAGCCTCCGCCTCCAAGACAACACCTAGCATTCAACAGCCTCCGGGACTCCTGGGACTGCCCGGGCCCGCTCCCAAACACGCCACGACACGCCAAGAGGGCCCTAAAGATTGCCAAGACAGCCCCAAGAGGCCCCGGACACGCCGAAGATGGCCTCAGGACGGCCGACGACGCCACCAAGACGCCCCGAAAGCGCCTCCAGAGGCCCCTCCAAAGGGCCCCGCATTTTTGCGCTCTCGCATGTTCCGCCTCCCCACGGTCCCAGACGGCGTCGGAGGCCCTTCAGATCGCTCCAAGACGGCCGAAGAGGCTCCCCAGGAAAGACCAGAGACGGCCCAGGAGGCTCCCCAGATAAGTCAGGAGGGCCTCGAGAGCGCCCCAAGAGAGCCCCAAGAGCGATCCAAGAGGGTCCGAAGAGCGCGACAT